CATACACACACCAGAGCACCCATAATGGTTTAAAACCCAGGGATGAAGCTCTGTGGTAGAGTACTTGCCTAGTATGTGCAATATGGATGAATTAATGAAGACTATTTTAAAGTGTGTGTGTTCGGATACATTCATATGTGTACACATACATGCAGGTATGTATGCACGTATGTGTATATGGGTGTCAAGGTCAGATATCAACGTTGGATGACTTCTTCAATCATTCTTCACTTTTTAATTTAGCTTTGGTTGTTTTGGACAGGGTTTCTCTGTGTAGCCTTGGTTGTCCTGGATCTCATGCTGTAGACCAGGCTGGCCTTGAACTCACAGAGATCCACCTGCCTCAGCCTCCCTAGTGCTGGAATTAAAGGTGTGTGCCACCACTGCCTGGCTTACTTTATGTTTGCGAAAAAGGGTCTCTCACTGATTTTGCTAAGCTGGCTGGCCAACAAACTCCAGGGGCCCTGCCTGTCTCCAGCCCCCTTCAGTGTTGAGATCACAGTTCCACACCAAGTGCCTAACCTGGCTTTTTATATGGAGGATGGGGATCCAAACTCAGGTCCTCCAGCTTGTCCAGCCAGTACCTTATCCACTGCACCACCTTCTTAGCCTCATGAAGACTGTATTTAAAAATAGCCATTGGGGTGGACCTGCCTTTGGTCCCAGAATTCAGGAGGCGGGGCAGGCAGGAGGATTTATGTAGGCTGGCTTAGTCTTCATAGCAAGTTCCAGGACAGCAAGGACTACATAGATACTGTCTTTTTGTTTTGTTTTTGGGGTTTTTTGTTTGTTTGTTTTCGAGACAAGGTTTCTCTGTGGCTTTAGAGGCTTTCCTGGAACTAGCTCTTGTAGACCAGGCTGGTCTTGAACTACAGAGATCCCCCTGACTCTGCCTCCCAAGTGCTAGGATTAAAGGTGTGTGCCACCAATGCCTGGCTCATAGATTCTGTCTTAAATAAATAAATAAATAAATAAATAAATTAATTAATAATAAATAAATAAAATCATTGAGGACTAGAGAGATGGCTGGGCAGTTTAGAATACTTGTTGTTCTTACAGAGGACTAGAGTTGGAGTCCCAGCATATACATAATATCTCACAATCATCCTGAGTTCCAGGAGATTTGTTGTTCTCTTCTGACCTCCACAGACACCAGGCATGCACACACACACACACACGTACGCATGTACATACATATGCATATATATAAACAAAAATTCATGCACATAAATTTCAAATTTTAAAAAATACCCATAGGCATTCAGGACAATTTCATTCAATGTAAAAAGATGCTGGGGCCTGAGACAGTTCAGTCAAGTATTTGAGGGTGTGTTCTCACAGAGGAGTTGGGGAGAGAAGAGAGGCACATTTGGATAATTGGCACCCCACTATTTGCCCACCTTTCCTATCTGTTCCAGGAGGTGGGTTCTCAGTGCAGCAACTGGAACTGTCCAACCAAAAGGTGATAACTTTGCCCACTTGTGGTGGCTCAGCTGGGTAAGCAAGCCAGCTGTCTCCTACCAGCTTCTAGAATCCCACTAAAAAACAAACAAAACCCCAAACAAAACACTTGAGGCCTGGGGGAGGGGGTCACACTAACGAAGTAGCTGCCTGCTGTCATCAAGTGCCTGTTTTCAGGAAAATACTCTGCTGTCTCCATCTTTGATTTCCTCTAGTGATGAAAAGGGAAAAGAAAAATGAAAGTCTCTAAGTAAAGTAGGAAAGAAACAGCACAAGCCTGGGAGGAAACATAAAATTTGCAGTCCCAGTGCCCTGGGACTGAAGTCCGTCCCGACTGCAGGCTCACAGTCACCCCTTCATGTGTATTTGTTTGGTTTTACCTATTTGATTATTACTGTGTTGTGGTGGGCCCAGGTGCAGGGCATGTGCCCTCACAGGCACACTCTGTAGAACCTGTTTTCTCCTGGGTTTCAAGGATCAAATTCAAGTCCCCAGGCTTGCACAGCAAGTGCCATACCCTGCTGATCAAGCTCGGTGGCACTAGTTTGTTGAGACAAGGCCCTACACAGCCCAGGCTGGGTATGGACTCTTGCTGTGTAGCTAAGGAAGGTCTTAACTCCTAACTCCTGCCTCCAGCTCCTGAAGACTGAGCTCAAACATGGGCCACCATCCATTGTTTTTCCTCAGGGCTTGGGAGGCCCTGCATGCTCCAGAAGCTAGAAAGGCCCCTGGGAGCACAGCCGCATAGATAAAGGTGGTCTTCCCTCCTCTCCCTGCATTTTCTGTGAGAGCAGTCAATCATCTACAGTCCTTGTGCCCACATGCCTTCTGCAAGAGTGGATGAGCCTTCAGAAAGGTCCAAATCAACAGCAGAGACCAAATTGACTCTTTGTATTCCTTTTTAGTATTTTATACTTTCTCCCACAAAGTACCTGCAGCTGTCTGTCCCCAAAAGCCTGTCCTTTGTGTCCCCAGAGGCCCATTTTGGCCTTCTGGAAGTCCAAGCTGCCAGAGGTGGGAGAACAGACTGAATGTTCATTTCTTTTGATTGAATGTTCTTCTCCCATATTCACTGTCCTCCGAGGCTCTAAAGGCGGCCCAAGAGCTGATAGCTGGTGACTCTTTATTCCTGTGACTCTGGCATCTCAAGTTAGATGGTAATTAATCCTACTGAAAGCAAAAACACCCTAACCACCATGTGCATCTGTCCCTAGATCAGATAGCTCTTCCCCAGGCTGAAGTTGTAGCTAGGTTGGCAGAGTGCTTGACTGGCCTGCAGGAAGCCCTGGGCCCAACCCCATAAACAGGGCAGGGAAGACAGACGAAGTCAGTCCAAGGCAACCCTGGCTACACAGCCGATTTGAGGCCAGTCAGTTTGGGCTGTGTTAGCCCCTGCCTCAAAAAAAAAAAAAAAAGTCTCAGTGGTTAAGAGCACCAGCTACTCTTTGAGATGATATGGGTTCAAGAACTCATACCCACATGGTGGTTCACAACCATCTGTCTCCAGTTCAAGGGCGTCTGGCCCTCTTCTAGCTTCTGTGGGCACCTGCAAGCACAAGACTCGTATACATGCACTCAGGCCCACACAACACATAAGACAGTTTCTGTTTGTAGCCCTGGCTTTCCCGGAACTCACTCTGTAGACCAGGTTGGAACTAAAGGCATGGGCTACTCATCCCAAAATTTTAAAAACCTTTAAATAAACCTGTTACATGTTTTACTGTCATTGCTTAATAAAGAAGCTCTTTGGCCTATAGCCAGGCAGAATAAAGCTAGGCAGGAGATTCAAACAGGGAGAAAAGGCAGAGTTGAGAGAGAATTGAGCCAGCCAATGTGCTAGAGGGGACAGATAAAGCTGCGAAGCCACATGACAAAATATAGATAAATAGAAATGAGTTAAGTTGTAGAAGCAAGTTAGTAATAAGCCTAAGCTATAGGCTGAGCATTCTGTAATTAATATAAGCTTTTGTGTGTTTATTTGGGACTGGCAAGAGGGACAAAAGAAAAGCTCTGACTTTTATGAACTAAGAAGATGGCTCAGTGGATAAAGGCACAAAGTGCCCGCAACCCTGAGACCCCGGTTCCATCCCTGAGACCCACATGGTGGGCAGGGGAAAGCTGATTCCCCAGAGTTGTCAGATGGCCTCCAAATATGTACCAAGGCATGCATACACACATACACACAAAATAACTATGAAAAAAAATCCAGTGAGTCTTTTGTTACTGGACACTAGTCAGGTGCATTGTGTTGGGAAGGAATGACAGCCAGCTCACATACCTACCCCTAACCCAGCACTCTCCACAGCTCCCTGGGCCCCAATGGTGGTATCATGGCTACCTCAGACTTTGCATAAATCATCTCTTATTTCACCCTTGGGGTCCAGACCCACACTGCACCCAACCCCCTCTCCGAAATACACACTGTGATCACCTTCAGAAGGAGGCAGGGGACAGGAGAATGTAACCACTAATTCAAAGCAGAGAAACTCAGGACACAGAACTGAAAGGCCTTTTTCATCCAGCCTGTCCCCAAGCCCCATTCCCGGTGAAGCCGCCTCCCCGGTAAGACCCCCTTCCCTGGTGAGACCCCCTTCCGCAGTGAGGACTCTGACTTGGCTGCTTGGCTCCCTGTTTTTGCAACCTGTTTTTCTTCTTAAGCAAAGAAGTGTGGGGGTGGGCTGGCTAAGAGGGGGCAGACAGTACGAAGGTGAGAAACCTTCCAAGGCTGGCTGGCCTGGGCTGCCTAGAGGAGGTCACCATCCCTGCACAAGACCACACACAGCATCAGGTGTCTTCGTTTGCCCTGTTCCCTTGCCCGGGGCAGTAAAATGAATGTTTATTTGCTGTGATCCTCCTGCGGTGGAAGGAGGACCTGTGACTAAGATGAAGAGGTTCCTTGGTAGGAGTCCAAACTTGAAACAACTGACACTTGTCCCCACCACACGGTGAAACGTCCCCACAGCCCCCACAGACAGGACAGGGAGCTGTCACAGTTGCCTGAGTGTAGTGGCCAGTGTCAGTGACCACTCACTGATGCAGTGGTTCAGTTTCTCAACTGAGAATCTCTATTTTGCAAACAAACAGCTGTTGTCAGTTTCCCAACAAATGGGTCAGTTTGAAAGGACTGGAGAGGTAGAACTTTCTCTGTCTGATAAATGAAATGGTATACTCCACAACACTATTTCTTTTTCCCAGCAGTTAATGACGATCCCTCAATCTTCTGAAAGTTGTCTGACCCAAGACCACAACCACCACCCAAGAAAAGCAGGACAGGAACACCAAGTAATGAAATGGAATAAAGGCGGGGGAAGGAAGGAATGAAAGAAATAGAAGAACGGGAGTTAAAAGTAAGAAGGAGGTTATGAAGGAAGGAAGGATGGGGCAAGCGGATTCCTTCTGGAGCTAGAGCCTAACTTTCCTTAAAATGCCCCCCCCCCCCCAGGAACCCGGACTTGTCGCTGTGACTGGGAGCCGCTTCTGATCACGCGCCAGGTCCTCCACCCGCAGCCGCAGTCGCAGCATTCCCAGCCCGTACTCACCCACCGCGGTGATGCGGAAGCCTCGGGGCGACCGCAGGGCTCGGCGCCGCCAGGCATCCCTCAGCACCTGCACACAGGACTGGGGCGCTCGCACAAGCAGCACCCGGCGTTGCAGCCAGCCAACGAAGGCCAGCCGCGAGGCGGCGCGAACAAGGCGTGCATTCCAGAAGCAGCGCGCGTTGGCTCGGCGGAAGGCGCGGAAGAGCGCGCGGCCGCCGGGCTCTCCCGCAGCCTGCCCGGCCTCCCGCGGACTCAGCACCAGCGCCAGCGAGCCCGGAGCCAGCTGTATTGACCGCGCCATACCGTCTGCCCGCGGGACCCGGGACCCACGCTCACTGCGGCCGCCCGCGCCTGCTACCCAGGGAGCCCGCTGGGAGGGGGCGGGGCCAGGGAGGGGCGCCGTTTCCCAGGGCGTCGCTGTCATTCTTAGGTCCCCGCAGCAACTAGAAGAGCCAGTGCATAACCCGCCCTCAGGACCAAGAGGACCCAGGTCGCGCATGGGAAGTGACCCACGTTTGAGCCTCTGCTCCGCTCCAGACCTATCAGACCAGTTCTCAGGTTTCACCAGGCCAGGTTCCTCAAGTCGCAGCAGAGCCTCTTTATCTGGGCTTTCTGAAGTTCTAGGGTCTGCCTCCTCCCCTAACATAGCGCATTCTTTTGAGAATTTTGAGGAAAACAGTGTTAGAGAGATGCCACCGAAATGGCGAGAGGCAGTGGCGAAATCGTTGGTGAAATCTTGGGACCCGGCCCTGATTAGGATCTGGGGGTTCTGAGACAGCACTCTGTCATGCCCCAAGAGCCCCAAGGGGTAAACTAGGAAAGCTTGGGATCTGCCCCTGCAGAGAGAGATAAGGACAAACAGGTTGGGCCAGAAGTTAGGCCCTGGGCCACTGAGCAAAAAGATTTATTGAAAAGGACAGCCTTGGGAAAAAAGACAGGATAGGTATTAGCCTTAGTACCAAGACTCGGTGCTATAAAGGAGGTGCTTTGGGAAGTCATTTCAGAGTTCCTCACTCCCTTATCAATCACCAATGTCGACATAACAATCAGGGAAAGGCAAGAGAAGGGAGAGAGAGAGAGAAAGAAAGACCCTGTGTAGTCCAGGCTGGCCTCAAACTCATGATCCTCTTACCTCACCCCACCTCCAAGTGCTGGGATTACATGTGCCATCATGCTTAAGTTTATAACTACAATAATGAGATCATACTCTGTCCATAGTAAATAAACCATAAATCACAGATAGTATCAATAGCAATAGCCCAAGTTCACGACTTCATTGCAGACTGATATCTCAGGTGTTCTAATGTCTGAAAATTTTTGAACACTAATGTGATTTCACAAGTGAAAATTACCACGCTTGACTTCTTATGCTAGGTCACAGTAAAAACCTAGTTTGTACAAACACTGTACAAAATCACCTTCGAGTTGAGTTTAAGGGGAATGAGTATGAATCAAGCAAATTATGTATTTAGACTTGGGACCCATCTCCAACATGGCTCGTTAAGTATATCCAAAAGCCGGGCGATGGTGACCTATGTATGCCTTTAGTCCCAGCACTCGGGAGGCAGAGGCAGGAGGATCTTTGTGAGTTTGAGAACAGCCTAGTCTACAAGAGCTAGTTCCAGGACAGCCTCCAAAAAACCCTGTCTCAAAAAAACCAAATATATATATATATATATATATATATATATATATATATATATATTTGTATGTGTGTATTTCTAACTTTAAAAAATAAAAAAGTATATCCAAGATGCTAGCATCTGAAAAAAAATCTGATCTCTGGCCCCAAGCATCTTGGATATGATAATATCTTGTGTGGGGTGTGTGTGTGTGTGTGTGTGTGTATGTGTGTGGTGTTTGACTTAGTGTGTGTGTGACTTGAGTGTGGGTATGTGTGTGCCACGGTGCACGTGTGGAAATCAGAAGACAACCTCAGCATCAGCTCTGACTTTCTGCATGAGGCAGGGTCAGTTGAATGGATCACCTGAGAGCTCCCAGGACTCCTGCCACCACCTCCCAGCTCCCCACAGGACCACCAAGGAGTGAGACTATTACAGCTTATACGCATACTACATATGTGCTGTTCTACCTCAATTTACATGAGGTAGTGGGGATAGAACTCAACGTTTACCTACTGAGCTGTCTTCTCAGCCATCGTCCTGTGTTTTAAACGTTTTTTTCCCCCAAATGACAAAAGCTATGGTCAGTTAGATTAAGAAGTACTTCCCACGTTTACTCATGCAAACAGAAGTTTTAGCCCTAGACTAGGGGCAGGCTACCTTGTCCTGTGCTGCCCCTGATGTCTTCTAGGTCATGGCACTGGTGCTGCCACCATCTCTTTCACCTTGGGAAAAGATTCATCAGATATAATTGCAATTCTGGCTCCTTAATGGGAGAAAAACAAAGTCTGTTGCCAAGGTCACTGCCATTTCTCAGGAGCTACTGAAGAAGAGAAAAATAAAGGCATTTGATTTGTTTAAATAAGTAAACAAAAAAATAAAAAGAAGTATACCCCAGTCACATGGGTGGTACAGGCTTCTGTAAAATAAATCTGACTTCATCTTCAGTTCAAATAAGCATGTGACTTTAACATAGTATTTCACATCTGCATTCTGATTCTAAGGTAGATGAATAGCTACTGCAGGGAGGACAAATGTGGTCAGCTCTCAGCCTGTCCCATAGAGCGACACTTTTTCTTGTCATGTTCTCACCATGTAGCCCTGGCTGTCCTAGAAATCACTACATAGACCAGGCTGGCTTGGAATTCACAAAGATCTGGTTTCTCCTCTCTGATTATGATTTAGACTTGACTCTCCACACTCCAGCACTGCCTACGGTATGTTTCCTATAATCATGATGATAGTAATTTCTTTGTTTGTTTGTTTGTTTGTTTGTTTTTGAGACTTTGTTTCTCTGTGTAGCTTTGGAGTCTGTCCTGGAACTCACAGAGATCTACCTGCCTCTGCCTCCCAAATGCTGATGATGGCAATTTCTATTTGCTTTCAATTTCCTTTGTGGCTAGAACCATGCTAGATTTTTTTTTACATGTGATGTAATTTAATCTACAAAATTAATCTTCTGATAGGAGTAGTATTATTCAACCATCTCTCTCATGGACAAACCTCAATAAGTTCAGACAGTTTGTCTATAAGGACAGACATCATGTTGTCTGTTTCCAACATCTTACCACATATCTGCACTCATACACACAAACTACACACAGGTAAACATGTATACCTGTAATTAAAATAATAAAAACAAATCTAAAGAAGCTAAATGAAGATCCAGATCAGATGGTAGAGTGCCTGCCTTGTATTCAGGAGCCCTGAGTTCAGTCTTCAACACCATATAAACCAGTATAGCAGTGCATGAACACAATCCTAGCACACAGGAATAGAAAGAAGCTTGAAGATCAGGGGGTCAGAAGTCCAAGGTCCATCCTCAGTTACATAGTAAGTTTGAGACCAGGCTGACATAGATGTAAACTTGTCAAAAAAAACTGAACAAACAAACAAAGCAAACAAAAACACCTGTCAACCAGTTAAGCAATGATGAAGAACCTGGAACAACCTTAGAGCTTGTGCTTGCTAGAGGTGGAGGGACAGCCCCTGGGATCATTAGCACATGGCTGTAAACCCAGCCCCTACCTAAAGGTTTTTGAACAACAGAGAGTGACCTCTACCCTTCCCTGAACAAGATTCCATTTCTAAAGTCTGACAGGCAAAGCTTGGAGCTAGATTGTGTTTGGTCCAGAAAGCTCAACCTCTGCCTTGTTTGAAGTAGGACATTCAGTGTCCTCCTCCTCCCACCACTGAGCATCTCACAGCTCCAAACACAAGTATTCCCATCCCTTTGCATGGTTTCTTCTGCCTAGAAAACCTCCACTTTTAGTTGTTTTTTATGTGTGCTGTGTGTACTGGCATCATGTGCATACCAGAGCCCAAGGAGACCCAAAGAGGGACCAGGATCCCCTGAAACTGGAGCTATAACATTTGTGAACTGTCTCGTCTGAGTGCTGGAAACTGAACCTGGGTCCTCTGCAAGAACGGCAAGTGACCTTAACCACTGAGCCATCTCTCCAGGTGATATCATACAATAACCCAGCTCTTAAAAATCCCTGACACATTCAGGAAGGTTTTATCTGCTCCCAAGCACATGGTTAGCCCTGTTATGACACTCATATGGTGAAGGTGGTAATATTTAGTTACCTCTAACAATCAGCTGATTCATCCCTGCATCTGGCACCTTGCCCAGTGCCTGGCATGTAGATGCATTCGACCTGAGTCAAATCTAAGCATTGCTTTGTGTAGGACGACACTGCTTATGTCACTGGCTCATGGTCTGTTGTCACCACACACAAGAGCACTTTGGGCTGGGAATCAGTTGCTGGCTATGCAATAGTCAGTGGCCAAGGCCAACCTGAAGGAGCAGCTTCGAAACTCACTTGGTCACCTGGGAGTCAGGGGCTTCTGTTTATAGCACAAATGGTACAGTGGGAGTGACATTTGTATTGATGACTTTAACAGTTTTTAAAGATTTTATCTATTTATTGGGTTTTTTGCTTGTTTTTTTTAGGTAGGGTTTTTCTATGTAACAGCTCTGGCTGTCCTGGAACTAGCTCTGAAAACTTAGCTGGCTTTGAACTCATAGAGCTCCACCTGTCTCTGCCTCCCAAGTGCTGAGATTAAAGGCATGCACCACCACCACCACCAGCACCCAGCTCCCCGGTAATACCCCTATTATGATGTTTTATAGCAAGTTTGTTCATCATGAAACAAGCCTGGGAACTCTCCTCAAAGGGAGATGTGGGCCTTTGCCAAGCAACTGTGCTGGTGAAGGAAGGCAGAAGGAGGAAGCCGAGGAGCAGGCGGTGAGGGAGGGAGATCTGGGCCCTGCACTGGGGCAGACTACCCATGGGAGGTAATGGGGGAAGGAGACTGCTGCAGTGGGGCACTGCCAATGGGAGGCTATTGAGGAAGTGGGGACCATCGTAGTGGGGCACACGGGGCTCGACTGACTTTTCAGAGAGCAAGCTGGAGAAGAACAGCTGGTCGTCCTGCCCTGGGCCCTGTGAAAGCCATAAACTCTCCAAAGACCAACACTCTGCCACACTACTAAAATGAGGGTCAGAGGGCAGGTTTCAGAGCCTAAAGAAACTGGTAAGTGAAAGTGAGCTGAGGAAAGCCAGTGTACTTCCCAACAACACAGTTTTGAGGGGTAGGTAGGTAGGTGTCTTGAGCATCTTTTATCCTCTACCTCAGTAAGAATCAGTGAAGAGAAGACACTTAAGGCAGGAGGCTTC